TTATTTTTCCCAGCTACTCAGCATGCCCTAAGCCCTTGTTTTTTTGCATGGCTTAGTGCATGCCATCTAGAGCCTGCACCGCAATTCTCAAGTCGAAAATCCAAAGGGGTGGGGAGCTATAGCATTTCAACATTTGCCCCAAGTATGAATGTTTGAGCGTTTCCCCATGAAAGCACATGCTCTTCTTTTATTTTTCCCAGCTACTCAGCATGCCCTAAGCCCTTGTTTTTTGCATGGCTGGTTAGTGCATGCCATCTAGAGCCTGCACCGCAATTCTCAAGTCGAAAATCCAAAGGGGTGGGGAGCTATAGCATTTCAACATTTGCCCCAAGTATGAATGTTTGAGCGTTTCCCCATGAAAGCACATGCTCTTCTTTTATTTTTCCCAGCTACTCAGCATGCCCTAAGCCCTTTTTTTTGCATGGCTGGTTAGTGCATGCCATCTAGAGCCTGCACCGCAATTCTCAAGTCGAAAATCCAAAGGGGTGGGGAGCTATAGCATTTCAACATTTGCCCCAAGTATGAATGTTTGAGCGTTTCCCCATGAAAGCACATGCTCTTCTTTTATTTTTCCCAGCTACTCAGCATGCCCTAAGCCCTTGTTTTTTGCATGGCTGGTTAGTGCATGCCATCTAGAGCCTGCACCGCAATTCTCAAGTCGAAAATCCAAAGGGGTGGGGAGCTATAGCATTTCAACATTTGCCCCAAGTATGAATGTTTGAGCGTTTCCCCATGAAAGCACATGCTCTTCTTTTATTTTTCCCAGCTACTCAGCATGCCCTAAGCCCTTGTTTTTTGCATGGCTTAGTGCATGCCATCTAGAGCCTGCACCGCAATTCTCAAGTCGAAAATCCAAAGGGGTGGGGAGCTATAGCATTTCAACATTTGCCCCAAGTATGAATGTTTGAGCGTTTCCCCATGAAAGCACATGCTCTTCTTTTTTTTTTCCCAGCTACTCAGCATGCCCTAAGCCCTTGTTTTTTTGCATGGTGGTTAGTGCATGCGATCTAGAGCCTGCACCGCATTCTCAAGTCGAAATCCAAAGGGGTGGGGAGCTATAGCATTTCAACATTTGCCCCAAGTATGAATGTTTGAGCGTTTCCCCATGAAAGCACATGCTCTTCTTTATTTTTTCCCAGCTACTCAGCATGCCCTAAGCCCTTGTTTTTTGCATGGCTGGTTAGTGCATGCATCTAGAGCCTGCACCGTAATTCTCAAGTCGAAAATCCAAAGGGGTGGGGAGCTATAGCATTTCAACATTTGCCCCAAGTATGATGTTTGAGCGTTTCCCCATGAAAGCACATGCTCTTCTTTTATTTTTCCAGCTACTCAGCATGCCCTAAGCCCTTGTTTTTTGCATGGCTGGTTAGTGTGCGATCTAGAGCCTGCACCGCTATTCTCAAGTCAAAAATCCAAAGGGGTGGGGAGCTATAGCATTTCAACATTTGCCCCAAGTATGAATGTTTGAGCGTTTCCCCATGAAAGCACATGCTCTTCTTTTATTTTTCCCAGCTACTCAGCATGCCCTAAGCCCTTGTTTTTCATGGCTGGTTAGTGCATGCATCTAGAGCCTGCACCGCAATTCTCAAGTCGAAAATCCAAAGGGGTGGGGAGCTATGCATTTCAACGTTTGCCCCAAGTATGAATGTTTGAGCGTTTCCCCATGAAAGCACATGCTCTTCTTTTATTTTTCCCAGCTACTCAGCATGCCCTAAGCCCTTGTTTTTTGCATGGCTGGTTAGTGTATGCGATCTAGAGCCTGCACCGCAATTCTCAAGTCGAAAATCCAAAGGGGTGGGGAGCTATAGCATTTCAACATTTGCCCCAAGTATGAATGTTTGAGCGTTTCCCCATGAAAGCACATGCTCTTCTTTTATTTTTCCCAGCTACTCAGCATGCCCTAAGCCCTTGTTTTTTGCATGGCTTTGATGTGATCTAGAGCCTGCACCGTAATTCTCAAGTCGAAAATCCAAAGGGGTGGGGAGCTATAGCATTTCAACATTTGCCCCAAGTATGCATGTTTGAGCGTTTCCCCATGAAAGCACATGCACTTCTTTTATTTTTTCCAGCTACTCAGCATGCCCTAAGCCCTTGTTTTTTGCATGGCTGGTTAGTGCATGCGATCTAGAGCCTGCACCGCTATTCTCAAGTCGAAAATCCAAAGGGGTGGGGAGCTATAGCATTTCAACATTTGCCCCAAGTATGAATGTTTGAGCGTTTCCCATGAAAGCACATGCTCTTCTTTTATTTTTCCAGCTACTCAGTATGCCCTAAGCCTTGTTTTTGTACGGCTGGTTAGTGCATGCATCTAGAGCCTGCACCGCAATTCTCAAGTCGAAAATCCAAAGGGGTGGGGAGCTATAGCATTTCAACATTTGCCCCAAGTATGAGTATTTGAGCGTTTCCCCATGAAAGCACATGCTTTCTTTTATTTTTCCCAGCTACTCAGCATGCCCTAAGCCCTTGTTTTTTGCATGGCTTTGCATGTGATCTAGAGCCTGCACCGTAATTCTCAAGTCGAAATCCAAAGGGGTGGGGAGCTATAGCATTTCACATTTGCCCAAGTATGCATGTTTGAGCGTTTCCCATGAAGCACATGCACTTCTTTTATTTTTTCCAGCTACTCAGCATGCCCTAAGCCCTTGTTTTTTGCATGGCTGGTTAGTGCATGCCGATCTAGAGCCTGCACCGCTATTCTCAAGTCAAAAATCCAAAGGGGTGGGGAGCTATAGCATTTCAACATTTGCCCCAAGTATGAATGTTTGAGCGTTTCCCCATGAAAGCACATGCTCTTCTTTTATTTTTCCCAGCTACTCAGCATGCCCTAAGCCCTTGTTTTTCACATGGCTGGTTAGTGCATGCATCTAGAGCCTGCACCGCAATTCTCAAGTCGAAAATCCAAAGGGGTGGGGAGCTATAGCATTTCAACGTTTGCCCCAAGTATGAATGTTTGAGCGTTTCCCCATGAAAGCACATGCTCTTCTTTTATTTTTCCCAGCTACTCAGCATGCCCTAAGCCCTTGTTTTTTGCATGGCTGGTTAGTGATGCGATCTAGAGCCTGCACCGCAATTCTCAAGTCGAAAATCCAAAGGGGTGGGGAGCTATAGCATTTCAACATTTGCCCCAAGTATGAATGTTTGAGCGTTTCCCCATGAAAGCACATGCTCTTCTTTTATTTTTCCCAGCTACTCAGCATGCCCTAAGCCCTTGTTTTTTGCATGGCTTTGCATGTGATCTAGAGCCTGCACCGTAATTCTCAAGTCGAAAATCCAAAGGGGTGGGGAGCTATAGCATTTCAACATTTGCCCCAAGTATGCATGTTTGAGCGTTTCCCCATGAAAGCACATGCACTTCTTTTATTTTTCCAGCTACTCAGCATGCCCTAAGCCCTTGTTTTTTGCATGGCTGGTTAGTGCATGCATCTAGAGCCGCACCGCTATTCTCAAGTCGAAAATCAAAGGGGTGGGGAGCTATAGCATTTCAACATTTGCCCAAGTATGATGTTTGAGCGTTTCCCCATGAAAGCACATGCTCTTCTTTTATTTTTCCCAGCTACTCGTATGCCCTAAGCCCTTGTTTTTTGTACGGCTGGTTAGTGCATGCCATCTAGAGCCTGCACCGCAATTCTCAAGTCGAAAATCCAAAGGGTGGGGAGCTATAGCATTTCAACATTTGCCCCAAGTATGAGTATTTGAGCGTTTCCCCATGAAAGCACATGCTCTTCTTTTATTTTTCCCAGCTACTCAGTATGCCCTAAGCCCTTGTTTTTTGTACGGCTGGTTAGTTCATGCCATCTAGAGCCTGCACCGCAATTCTCAAGTCGAAAATCCAAAGGGGTGGGGAGCTATAGCATTTCAACATTTGCCCCAAGTATGAATGTTTGAGCGTTTCCCCATGAAAGCACATGCTCTTCTTTTATTTTTCCCAGCTACTCAGCATGCCCTAAGCCCTTGTTTTTTGCATGGCTGGTTAGTGCATGCCATCTAGAGCCTGCACCGCAATTCTCAAGTCGAAAATCCAAAGGGGTGGGGAGCTATAGCATTTCAACATTTGCCCCAAGTATGAATGTTTGAGCGTTTCCCGATGAAAGCACATGCTCTTCTTTTATTTTTCCCAGCTACTCAGCATGCCCTAAGCCCTTTTTTTTTGCATGGCTGGTTAGTGCATGCGATCTAGAGCCTGCACCGCAATTCTCAAGTCGAAAATCCAAAGGGGTGGGGAGCTATAGCATTTCAACATTTGCCCCAAGTATGAATGTTTGAGCGTTTCCCGATGAAAGCACATGCTCTTCTTTTATTTTTCCCAGCTACTCAGCATGCCCTAAGCCCTTTTTTTTTGCATGGCTGGTTAGTGCATGCGATCTAGAGCCTGCACCGCAATTCTCAAGTCGAAAATCCAAAGGGGTGGGGAGCTATAGCATTTCAACATTTGCCCCAAGTATGAATGTTTGAGCGTTTCCCCATGAAAGCACATGCTCTTCTTTTATTTTTCCCAGCTACTCAGCATGCCCTAAGCCCTTGTTTTTTGCATGGCTGGTTAGTGCATGCCATCTAGAGCCTGCACCGCAATTCTCAAGTCGAAAATCCAAAGGGGTGGGGAGCTATAGCATTTCAACATTTGCCCCAAGTATGAATGTTTGAGCGTTTCCCCATGAAAGCACATGCTCTTCTTTTATTTTTCCCAGCTACTCAGTATGCCCTAAGCCCTTGTTTTTTGTACGGCTGGTTAGTGCATGCCATCTAGAGCCTGCACCGCAATTCTCAAGTCGAAAATCCAAAAGGTGGGGAGCTATAGCATTTCAACATTTGCCCCAAGTATGAATGTTTGAGCGTTTCCCCATGAAAGCACATGCTCTTCTTTTATTTTTCCCAACTACTCAGCATGCCCTAAGCCCTTGTTTTTAGCATGGCTGGTTAGTGCATGCCATCTAGAGCCTGCACCGCAATGTTGTGTGATGTCATCATATGCTATCACATTCTGTCTGCCTCCCATCCCATATTTTCAACTTGCATGTGTGGTTTGAACGTGTGAAAGAATTTGTGTGTGGTGTGTTCTGGAGTTTGGGAATGTGTTTTTGTGCTATTCTGTCTGAGCAGGTATTTGTGATGATAGATCTTGAGAAGATCTTTCCGACGCAACAAGAATCGCTTCAATCGGAGCAAGAACGCGAAAGCTATGAAGATTCAAAGTTCTTGAGCTTGCGTTACAATTGCGGCGGTTACAAAGTGAAGTTGTGGGGTGACTCACAATGGAGTTGGGACCTTTGGGGTTGGGGAAATTTGTCACTCTACTGTAACAGCTGCAAATAGGTTGGGAACAACCAAGCTAGGTTGGCAAGGGTGGCCAACTTGGATGGATTGGTTGGGAAGGGACAAAGGTCAAAGTTGAGGTTCCTATAGGGAGGGAATCTTTGTGCTTATGGGGTTTCCTTGGTTGGGGACTCTCTTGGGACCTTCCCTCTCATCCATCTCTTCCTATCCCAACCTTTCTCTTGCTCCTTCTAATTCCTTGTGAGATTCTTGAATTTTGATTGAACTCTTGAGATTGAGTTAAGTTCTCCTCCTACAGCTTACCCCCTAGTGCGTCGAAAGCCATAGCGTCGCGAATACTTCATCAATCAACATGATTCAAATTGGGAACGGTAGCTGAGATTAGGAGCTACAACATATCGAAGTTTCGCGACATCCCAACGGCTGGTTTTTTGTCGACGTCGTTTCTTGTGAAGACGACTTTTCTGTCCAGAATTTCGGATTTATATTTTGAGTAATTCTAGCTCCTAAGTTCACCTAGACTCCGTCCTTAATCATAACATGTTGTGTGATGTCATCATATGCTATCACATTCTGTCTGCCTCCCATCCCATGTTTTTTCAATTCGCACGTATGGTTTGACTGTGTGTGAAAGAATTTGTGTGTGGTGTGTTCTGGAGTTTGGGAATGTGTTTTGTGTTATTCTGTCTGAGCAGGTATTTGTGATGATAGATCTTGAGAAGATCTTTCCGACGCAACAAGAATCGCGTCAATCGGAGCAAGAACGCGAAAGCTATGAAGATTCAAAGTTCATGAGCTTGCGTTACAATTGCGGCGGTTACAAAGTGAAGTTGTGGGGTGACTTTATATGGAGTTGGGACCTTTGGGGTTGGGGAAATTCGTCACTCTACTGTAACAGCTGCAAATTGGTTGGGAACAACCAAGCTAGGTTGGCAAGGGTGGCCAACTTGGATGGATTGGTTGGGAAGGGACAAATGTCAAAGTTGGGGTTCCTATAGGGAGGGAATCTTTGTGCTTATGGGGTTTCCTTGGTTGGGGACTCTCTTGGGACCTTCCCTCTCATCCCTCTCTTCTATCCCAACCTTTCTCTTGCTCCTCTAATTCCTTGTGAGATTCTTGAACTTTGATTGAACCTTTGAGATTGAGTTAAGTTCTCCTCCTACAGCTTACCCCCTAATGCGTCGAAAGCCATAGCGTCGCGAATACTTCATCAATCAACGTGATTCAAATTGGGAACGGTAGCTGAGATTAAGAGCTACAACATATCCAAGTTTCGCGACATTCCAACGGCTAGTTTTTCGTCGACGTCGTTTCTTGTAAAGACGACTTTTCTGTCCAGAATTTCGGATTTATATTTTGAGTAATTCTAGCTCCTAAGTTCACCTAGACTCCGTCCTTAATCCTAACAAGTGGTATCAGAGCAATATTAAGGACATTGAGAGGAGTCTACAGAAGTTTGAAGACCCTTCTAGACCCACCATGGCCTGTGGGTGTGCCTAAGTGGTGTTCTAAAGGTTGGATGTGTCTTCCGCTAAGGGGAAACTCTGCCGAAATTTCGTGGACGCCGACACTTGTGAAAATATCGAGGGAGCTGAGTGTGGACTGCAAAGGGGGGCTGAAATTCGTCATTTCTCAAGGAGAAGATGAATGAGAGAGGAGGAGATGCTAATGGAAGAGGAGCTGTAGCTGAGAAGACAAGTGAGCCGCCGCCATCAAAAGTTGAAGCTTTGGATGGCTCCAACTATGAGGAATGGAGCGGACGGATGAGGAGTGCCTTCAAACGCTACAAGCTACTGAAGATTGCTGTTGGGGAAGAGAAGATGCCGGAAGAAGGCGAAGCACGTGAACGGTGGATTGAGAAAAGCACGGTGCTTTTCGACCTCATCCTTCAATCGGTCAACAAGGAGATGTTCGAGCACATCAAGGATCTTGTGGAAGCGGATGATTCGGGTCCAAGGGCGTGGAAACTACTACGCGATGTGATTCAGCCCAACACTCTCCTGATGGTGATCGTGCTCGAGAAGGAACTTGCTGCCATCTCCATGCGACCAGGGGACGATGTGAAGCCGGTCCTTGACAAGATCAAGGACACCTATGCAAGGATGGCAGCAGCGGGCAGCAGTGTATCTCAGCTGCAGCAGTGCACCAAGATCATCTCGGTGTTGGACAACTCTTGGGACAACCTCATCCCCACCCTCAACTCTCAGCAAGATCAATGGACACCTGAGTGGCTAAGGCAGCAGATTCTGCAGGAGGACTTCCGCAGACGCCATGTGGGAGGCGGTGCTGCCACTAAGACTGCTGAGGGGTATGGAGCTGCAGGGCGCAGCAGAGGAAGAGGGGGTTGGAGAGGCCGAGGCCGTGGGAGAAGCTTTGGCAGAGGTAGAGGCCGAGGTGACTATAATGAGGGGCATGGGAGCTCCAGTGGCAGGGGGAGTACCAGAATGGAGGGCACCTGCTGGTACTGCAAGAAGGTCGGGCATCCTTGGTTCAAGTGCTTCAGCAGGCCGGAGGGATGGTCACCTCCAGGCATGAAGCCGCCAAGTGGTGAACGCGCACAAGGTGGCGCTGTGCAAGGCTCAGGTGCACAAGGTGAAGGTGCACAAGGTAACGCCTATCCTGGGATGTATCTCATGGTTGAGGATGTGCATGGGCATGAGGGTGATGTGGGATCTGTGGGAAAGGTTGTGATGCACCCTCTCACGCACTGGGTGATTGATTCGGGTTGCACCAGTCACATGACTCCACGGGCAGATTTGCTTGATGAGGTAAAACCCCCTGGGAAGATCAAGTATGTGGCAGCAGCATCAGGTGCTTTGCTCCCTGTCATTGGTGTTGGGAATGCCAAGGTTAAGGGAGCTAATGGGGAGCTTGTGGGGCTTGGGAATGTTCTGCTGGTTAAAGGCTTGTCTGCTAACCTTCTCTCTGTGCGGCGACTGCAGAAGAGTAAGGCCGAAGTGACCTTTGGACCAACCAGCTGCCGTGCAAGCTTGGGAAGAAGGTGCTGTGGAGTCTGGAAGAGGAGACCAGCTGCATCAAGGACCTGTGGCAGCTGCCCATCATCCCATGGAATGGGAAGACTCCAACAGCAGCAACGACAGCAGCGGCAAAGGCAACAGCAGGAGGAGATGCAACTGCACCAACTGATGGGGTCCTGGAAGCAGTCAAGAAAGTGCAGCAGCAGCAGACACATGGTGAGGTGCTTGCTGGTGTGGATGCGAGTGCGGCATGGGCTAAGGCTTCATCAAGGAGTGGAGAGGCCGATTGGGAGACATGGCATGAGAGGCTGCGTCATGTGAACTTCCCTATGCTGCAGAAGTTGGTGAAGGATGGGAGCCTGAAAGGATTGGAGGTAAAGGGGGATTGAAGGAGATTGGGAGCTGCCCTACATGCTTGGAGACCAAGTTCTCCAAGTTCCCCTTCAACAGCACTACAGGACCAGCCAAGACCCCACTTGCACTTGTGCACATGGATGTGGTGGGGCCCACAAGAGCCCCTTCCCTCTCAGGCAGCCGCTATTTCTTGACAATTGTGGATGACCACACTCGGGCAGTGTGGGTTTACCCTTTGAAGAGCAAGGGGGAGGTGGCAGCGGCTGTCCTTAAGGAGTGGATGCCGAGAGCTCAGAGGGAATGTGGACACAAGGTGAAGGTGATCCGCAGTGACAATGGTGGGGAGTTCATTGGAGCTGATTTTGAGGGGGAGTTGAAGAGGAAGGGGATCCAGCATCAACTGACAGTGCCCTACAACCCGCAGCAGAATGGCGTGGCTGAGAGGTTCAACAGGACCCTGCAGGAGGGGGCACGCACTCTCCTTGGGCGTGCAGGGCTACCTGATCCGTTTTGGGTGTCTGCACTGAGGCAGGTCGCCCTTGTGAAGAATAGAGTGCTGGCTACAGTTGGGGATAAGGAGTGGATCCCATATACCAAGTGGTATGGGAGTGCTCCAGCTGTGAATATGCTGAGGGCATTTGGGTGCATGGTAGTGTTTCATGTGCCTAAGGAGAAAAGAGGGAAGTTGGAGGCTTCTGGAAGATGGGGTGTGCACTTGGGGATTGCAAAGGATCACAAGGGATGGCTTCTATGGGACTTGACCATCCAGAAGCTGACAGTGTCAAGGGATGTGAAGTTTCTTGAGTCCCTGTACTATAAGGAATGGAAGCAGCAGCAACAGAAGCTTCCATCTACACCACTCATTGTGGAGGCAGATGAGTTGCAGCAGCCTTCAAGGCAGGTGGAGGTTGCAGTGTCTGAGGAGGAGATATCTGGGGTGACTGAAGAAGGGGGAGCAGCTGAAGTGGAGCAGCAACAGCAACATGAGTCTCCACCTCGAGTTCCACACCCGCCTGAGCGACCTAGGAGGGATGTGCGCCCTCCTGTGAGGCTGACCTATGGGGGAAGAGGCAAGCCAAATGTGGTGCAGGCTGGGAGTGTGGTTGAGCAGATTGAGGAAGATGAGATCGCTCACTGCTACTGGGCACCAATCCCTGAGCCCAAGACTCGAGAGGAGGCCTTGAATGGACCAAATGGGGAGAAGTGGAAGGCGAGTGAGGATGAGGAGTTCGGGTCCCTAATTGAGAACGAGACATGGGACCTGTGTGACTTGCCTCCTGGAAAGAAGGCAATCACTTCCAAGATGATCTACAGGCACAAGTATGGACCTGAAGGGGAGCTGACCCGCTACAAGTCTAGGCTTGTGGCACGGGGGTTTCAGCAGACAAAGGGGAAGGACTATGATGAGGTGTTTGCTCCTGTGGGGAAAGGAACAACACTGAGGGTGCTGTTGGCGATAGCTGCACTCCTGGGATGGAAGATACGGCAGATGGACATTGTGACTGCCTTTCTGAATGGGATCATTCTGGAGGAGGTGTACATGAACAGCCAGAGGGGCTGGATGACGGGAGCGGCAGGGTCTGCAGGCTGAAGAAGGCCATCTATGGCCTTAAGCAGGCGCCTCGTGCATGGTATCACAAGTTGGAGGAGGCGCTGTTGGCTGGGGGTTTCAAGAAGAGTGAGTGTGACCCCAGCCTGTTCCTGCTGCAGGAGAAGGATGAAATCCTCATGCTCTTGGTGTATGTGGATGATATCCTTCTCTTTTCTGCATCCACTGCTTTGCTGGACAGCGCAGAGCAGATGCTGGAGATGCAGTTCAAGTGCTCCAAGATGGGTGAGGTGAAGTACTACTTGGGGATGCACGTGGAGAGAGATGTGGAAAAGGGTGTGCTGAGGTTGCACCAGAGGAAGTACTGTGAGGGGCTGGCTGAGAAGTATGGGCTGCAAGATGGGGGAAAGCCAGCAACACCACTACCTTCGGGGTTCACTGTGGAGCCATGTGCTGATGAGGAGGTAGTGGGTGATAGTGACAGGAAGCTGTTTCATTCGATGGTTGGGTCGCTGAATTATGCTGCAAATCATACACGGCCTGACATTGCATTTGCTACATCACGGTTGGCTAGTGTGGTCTCACGCCCTAGTCATGAGCAGCTGGAAGCGGCCAAGAGGTTGGTCCGCTATGTGAGTGCTACGGCATCAGTGGGATTGGAGTACAGTGGAGTGAGGCAGCGGTTGCAGAGAGGTGCTGCAGATGTGAAGAGTGGAGAGATGCTCTTGAGTTGCTATACTGACGCTAGCTTCAACTCAGTGAAAGCGGATGGCACCAGCATTGGGGGTTATGTGTGCTTGCTAGGAGGTGGTGCTGTGAGCTGGCGCAGCAAGAAGCAAATGAGGTGGGATTGTCTCATGTGAGACTGAGTACATGGCCTTACACCATGGGGCCAAGGAAGTGGTATGGCTGAGGCGTTTGTTGGAGGAGTTGGGAGTTGGTCAGGAGAAGCCGACAGTTGTGTTTTGTGACAATGAGTCCGCTGTGAAGCTCGCCAAGAATGCTTGTCTGCATGGGCTGACAAAACACATAAGGCCTAAGTGGCATTGGGTGAGGAGACTCCTTGATAAGGAGGTGCGGCTGGAGATAGTGAAGACCCATCAGCAGGCAGCAGATATTTTCACTAAGCGTCTGGCGGAGGCGGATCATTGGAAGGGCATGAAGCTTGCTGGGATGAGTGTGCATTGAGTATGCATGCTTGAGATGTGGTATGGTCGATGATGGTTGGCAGCCAGAGGGGGAGATTGTTGTGTGATGTCATCATATGCTATCACATTCTGTCTGCCTCCCATCCCATGTTTTCAATTCGTATGTATGGTTTGACTGTGTGTGAAAGAATTTGTGTGTGGTGTGTTCTGGAGTTTGGGAATGTGTTTTGTGTTATTCTGTCTGAGCAGGTATTTGTGATGATAGATCTTGAGAAGATCTTTCCGACGCAACAAGAATCGCTTCAATCGGAGCAAGAACGCGAAAGCTATGAAGATTCAAAGTTCATGAGCTTGCGTTACAATTGCGGCGGTTACAAAGTGAAGTTGTGGGGTGACTTTATATGGAGTTGGGACCTTTGGGGTTGGGAAATTCGTCACTCTACTGTAACAGCTGCAAATTGGTTGGGAACAACCAAGCTAGGTTGGCAAGGGTGGCCAACTTGGATGGATTGGTTGGGAAGGGACAAATGTCAAAGTTGGGGTTCCTATAGGGAGGGAATCTTTGTGCTTATGGGGTTTCCTTGGTTGGGGACTCTCTTGGGACCTTCCCTCTCATCCCTCTCTTCTATCCCAACCTTTCTCTTGCTCCTCTAATTCCTTGTGAGATTCTTGAACTTTGATTGAACCTTTGAGATTGAGTTAAGTTCTCCTCCTACAGCTTACCCCCTAATGCGTCGAAAGCCATAGCGTCGCGAATACTTCATCAATCAACGTGATTCAAATTGGGAACGGTAGCTGAGATTAAGAGCTACAACATATCCGAGTTTCGCGACATTCCAACGGCTAGTTTTTCGTCGACGTCGTTTCTTGTAAAGACGACTTTTCTGTCCAGAATTTCGGATTTATATTTTGAGTAATTCTAGCTCCTAAGTTCACCAGACTCCGTCCTTAATCCTAACAAGTGGTATCAGAGCGATATTAAGGACATTGAGAGGAGTCTACAGAAGTTTGAAGACCCTTCTAGACCCACCATGGCCTGTGGGTGTGCCTAAGTGGTGTTCTGAAGGTTGGATGTGTCTTCCGCTAAGGGGAAACTCTGCCGAAATTTCGTGGACGCCGACACTTGTGAAAAATATTGAGGGAGCTGTGTGTGGACAGCAAAGGGGAGCTGAAATTCGTCATTTTTCAAGGAGAAGATGAATGAGAGAGGAGGAGATGCTAATGGAAGAGGAGCTGTAGCTGAGAAGACAAGTGAGCCGCCGCCATCAAAAGTTGAAGCTTTGGATGGCTCCAACTATGAGGAATGGAGCGGCGGATGAGGAGTGCCTTCAAACGCTACAAGCTCCTGAAGATTGCTGTTTGGGAGGAGAAGATGCCGGAGGAAGGCGAAGCACGCGAACGGTGGATTGAGAAAAACGCGGTGCTTTTTGACCTCATTCTTCAATCGGTCAACAAGGAGATGTTCGAGCACATCAAGGATCTTGTGGAAGCGGATGATTCGGGTCCAAGGGCGTGGAAACTACTACGTGATGTGATTCAGCCCAACACTCTCCCAATGGTGATCGTGCTCGAGAAGGAACTTGCTGCCATCTCCATGCGACCAGGGGACGATGTGAAGCCGGTCCTTGACAAGATCAAGGACACCTATGCAAGGATGGAGCAGCGGGCAGCAGTGTATCTCAGCTGCAGCAGTGCACCAAGATCATCTCGGTGTTGGACAACTCTTGGGACAACCTCATCCCCACCCTCAACTCTCAGCAAGATCAATGGACACCTGAGTGGCTAAGGCAGCAGATTCTGCAGGAGGACTTCCGTAGACGCCATGTGGGAGGCGGTGCTGCCACGAAGACTGCTGAGGGGTATGGAGCTGCAGGGCACGACAAAGGAAGAGGGGGTTGGAGAGGCCGAGGCCGTGGGAGGAGCTTTGGCAGAGGTAGAGGCCGAGGTGACTATAATGAGGGGCATGGGAGCTCTGGTGGCAGGGGGAGTACCAGAATGGAGGGCACCTGCTGGTACTGCAAGAAGTCGGGCATCCTTGGTTCAAGTGCTTCAGCAGGCCGGAGGGATGGGCACCTCCAGGCATGAAGCCGCCCAGTGGTGAACGCGCACAAGGTGGCGCTGTGCAAGGCTCAGGTGCACAAGGTGAAGGTGCACAAGGTAATGCCTATCCTGGTTTGTTTCTTATGGTTGAGGATGTGCATGGGCATGAGGGTGATGTGGGATCTGTGGGAAAGGTTGTCATGCACCCTCTCACGCACTGGGTGATTGATTCGGGTTGCACCAGTCACATGACCCCACGGGCAGATTTGCTTGATGAGGTAAAACCCCCTGGGAAGATCAAGTATGTGGCAGCAGCGTCAGGTGCTTTGCTCCCTGTCATTGGTGTTGGAAATGCCAAGGTTAAGGGAGCTAATGGGGAGCTTGTGGGGCTTGGGAATGTTCAGCTGGTTGAAGGCTTGTCTGCTAACCTTCTCTCTGTGCGACGACTGCAGAAGAGCAAGGCCGAAGTGACCTTTGGACCAACCAGCTGCCGTGCTAAGTTTGGGAAGAAGGTGCTGTGGAGTCTGGAAGAGGAGACCAGCTGCATCAAGGACCTGTGGCAGCTGCCCATCATCCCATGGAATGGGAAGACTCCAACAGCAGCAACGGCAGCAGCGACAAAGGCAACAGCAGGAGGAGATGCAACTGCACCAACTGATGGAGTCCTGGAAGCAGTCAAGAAAGTGCAGCAGCAGCAGACACATGGTGAGGTGCTTGCTGGTGTGGATGCGAGTGCGGCATGGGCTAAGGCTTCATCAAGGAGTGGAGAGGCCGATTGGGAGACATGGCATGAGAGGCTGTGTCATGTGAACTTCCCTATGCTGCAGAAGTTGGTGAAGGATGGGAGCCTGAAGGGCTTGGAGGTGAAAGGGGGAGTGAAGGAGATTGGGAGCTGCCCTACATGCTTGGAGACCAAGTTCTCCAAGTTCCCCTTCAACAGCACTACAGGACCAGCCAAGACCCCACTTGCACTTGTGCACATGGATGTGGTGGGGCCCACAAGAGCCCCTTCCCTCTTAGGCAGCCGCTATTTCTTGACAATTGTAGATGACCACACTCGGGCAGTGTGGGTTTACCCTTTGAAGAGCAAGGGGGAGGTGGCAGCGGCTGTCCTTAAGGAGTGGATGCCTAGAGCTCAGAGGGAATGCGGACACAAGGTGAAGGTGATCCGTAGTGACAATGGTGGAGAGTTCATTGGAGCTGATTTTGAGGGGGAGTTGAAGAGGAAGGGGATCCAGCATCAACTGACAGTGCCCTACAACCCACAGCAGAATGGCGTGGCTGAGAGGTTCAACAGGACCCTGCAGGAGGGGGCACGCACTCTCCTTGGGCGTGCAGGGCTGCCTGATCCGTTTTGGGTGTCTGCACTGAGGCAGGTCGCCCTTGTGAAGAACAGGGTGCTGGCTACAGTTGGAGATAAGGAGTGGATCCCATATGTCAAGTGGTATGGGAGTGCTCCAGCTGTGAACATGCTGAGGGCATTTGGGTGCATGGTGGTGTTTCATGTGCCTAAGGAGAAAAGGGGGAAGTTGGAGGCTTTTGGAAGATGGGGTGTGCACTTGGGGATTGCAAAGGATCACAAGGGGTGGCTGCTATGGGACTTGACCACCCAGAAGTTGACAGTGTCAAGGGATGTGAAGTTTCTTGAGTCCCTGTACTACAAGGAATGGAAGCAGCAGCAACAGAAGCTTCCATCTACACCGCTCATTGTGGAGGCAGATGAGGTGCAGCAGCCTTCAAGACAGGTGGAGGTTGTAGTGTCAGAGGAGGAGATGTCTGGGGTGACTGAGGAAGGGGGAGCAGCTGAAGTAGAGCAGCAGCAGCAGCAGCAGCATGAGTCTCCACCTCGAGTTCCACACCCGCCTGAGCGTTCTAGGAGGGATGTGCGCCCTCCAGTGAGGCTGACCTATGGGGGAAGAGGCAAGCCGAATGTGGTGCAGGCTGGGAGTGTGGTTGAGCAGATTGAGGAAGATGAGATCGCTCACTGCTACTGGGCACCAATCCCTGAGCCCAAGACTCGAGAGGAGGCTTTGAATGGACCAAATGGGGAGAAGTGGAAGGCGAGTGAGGATGAGGAGTTTGGGTCCCTAATTGAGAACGAGACATGGGACCTGTGTGACTTGCCTCCTGGAAAGAAGGCAATCACTTCCAAGATGATCTACAGGCACAAGTATGGACCTGAAGGGGAGCTGACCCGCTACAAGTCTAGGCTTGTGGCACGGGGGTTTCAGCAGACAAAGGGGAAGGACTATGATGAGGTGTTTGCTCCTGTGGGGAAAGGAACAACACTGAGGGTGCTGTTGGCGATAGCTGCACTCCTGGGATGGAAGATTCGGCAGATGGATATTGTGACTGCCTTTCTGAATGGGATCATTATGGAGGAGGTGTACATGAAGCAGCCAGAGGGGCTGGATGACGGGAGCGGCAGGGTCTGCAGGCTGAAGAAGGCCATCTATGGCCTTAAGCAGGCGCCTCGTGCATGGTATCACAAGTTGGAGGAGGCGCTGTTGGCTGGGGGTTTCAAGAAGAGTGAGTGTGACCCCAGCCTGTTCCTGCTGCAGGAGAAGGATGAAATCCTCATGCTCTTGGTGTATGTGGATGATATCCTTCTCTTTTCTGCATCCACTGCTTTGCTGGACAGCGCAGAGCAGATGCTGGAGATGCAGTTCAAGTGCTCCAAGATGGGTGAGGTGAAGTACTACTTGGGGATGCACGTGGAGAGAGATGTGGAAAAGGGTGTGCTGAGGTTGCACCAGAGGAAGTACTGTGAGGGGCTGGCTGAGAAGTATGGGCTGCAAGATGGGGGAAAGCCAGCAACACCACTACCTTCAGGGTTTACTGTGGAGCAATGTGCTGATGAGGAGGTAGTGGGTGAGAGTGACAGGAAGCTGTTTCATTCGATGGTTGGGTCGCTGAATTATGCTGCAAATCATACACGGCCTGACATTGCATTTTCTACATCACGGTTGGCTAGTGTGGTCTCACGCCCTAGTCATGAGCAGCTGGAAGCGGCCAAGAGGTTGGTCCGCTATGTGAGTGCTACGGCATCAGTGGGATTGGAGTACAGTGGAGTGAGGCAGCGGTTGCAGAGAGGTGCTGCAGATGTGAAGAGTGGAGAGATGCTCTTGAGTTGCTATACTGACGCTAGCTTCAACTCAGTGAAAGCGGATGGCACCAGCATTGGGGGTTATGTGTGCTTGCTAGGAGGTGGTGCTGTGAGCTGGCGCAGCAAGAAGCAGAATGAGGTGGGATTGTCCTCATGTGAGACTGAGTACATGGCCTTACACCATGGGGCCAAGGAAGTAGTGTGGCTAAGGCGTTTGTTGGAGGAGTTGGGAGTTGGTCAGGAGAAGCCGACAGTTGTGTTTTGTGACAATGAGTCCGCTGTGAAGCTCGCCAAGAATGCTTGTCTGCATGGGCTGACAAAACACATAAGGCCTAAGTGGCATTGGGTGAGGAGACTCCTCGATAAGGAGGTGCGGCTGGAGATAGTGAAGACCCATCAGCAGGCAGCAGATATTTTCACCAAGCGTCTGGCGGAGGCGGATCATTGGAAGGGCATGAAGCTTGCTGGGATGAGTGTGCATTGAGTATTCATGCTTGAGATGTTGGTATGGTGGTTGATGGTTGGCAGCCAGAGGGGGAGATTGTTGTGTGATGTCATCATATGCTATCACATTCTGTCTGCCTCTCATCTCTTGTTTCAATTCGTATGTATGGTTTGACTGTGTGTGAAAGAATTTGTGTGTGGTGTGTTCTGGAGTTTGGGAATGTGTTTTGTGTTATTCTGTCTGAGCAGGTATTTGTGATGATAGATCTTGAGAAGATCTTTCCGACGCAACAAGAATCGCTTCAATCGGAGCAAGAACGCGAAAGCTATGAAGATTCAAAGTTCATGAGCTTGCGTTACAATTGCGGCGGTTACAAAGTGAAGTTGTGGGGTGACTTTATATGGAGTTGGGACCTTTGGGGGTTGGGAAATTTGTCACTCTACTGTAACAGCTGCAAATTGGTTGGGAACAACCAAGCTAGGTTGGCAAGGGTGGCCAACTTGGATGGATTGGTTGGGAAGGGACAAATGTCAAAGTTGGGGTTCCTATAGGGAGGGAATCTTTGTGCTTATGGGGTTTCCTTGGTTGGGGACTCTCTTGGGACCTTCCCTCTCACCCCTCTCTTCCCATCCCAACCTTTCTCTTGCTCCTTCTAATTCCTTGTGAGATTCTTGAACTTTGATTGAACTCTTGAGATTGAGTTAAGTTCTCCTCCTACAGCTTACCCCCTAGTGCGTCGAAAGCCATAGCGTCGCGAATACTTCATCAATCGACATGATTCAAATTGGGAACGGTAGCTGAGGTTAAGAGATACAGCATATCCGAGTTTCGCGACATTCCAACGCCGCCGCCGCCGCAGGAGCTACAGGCCCTACCGCCACCGCCGCCGCAGTCACTGGCACCGCCGCCGCCGCTGCGACTTGCCGATGACGTCGCCGCCTTGATTGCCGAGGGGTCGACCCGCTGAAAAATGCCACAACTGCAGCAGGACATGGGAGTGCAAGGGTTTGGGGGTGTTGCGTGTTGGGTGCGCATGCGACTACCAAGCCTAGGGGGTGTGTCAAATTATATATACATATATATATATATGTGTGTCGGCTTGGTAGGTGTGTTACAATTACTGAATCCTACTGTAGAGGGTACAACACTCTTCTTGTATCCCTCTCACTTCTTGTCCACGATTCTTCTCTCTCGTAACTTTTCTCTAGCTAAAACCTCTTGCCCTCTCATGGCCACCTAGCAATGACTTCTTTGCGTTACCTGTTTCAAATTATATCCATCTGCCAGATGACTTCTCTTCTAGCATTTCCTGGGGTTTACGCACTCTCGTTTCAATATATGCTTAAACAAATGTGGACACATACGCAACCCATCCGACGATTTCCGTCGAGTCTTGTCCCAAACTGGGCAGATACGAACCCACCAAAAGCCACACATACGAGAGGGTGGGCGATTTCGGAACGCGTGCGTATGGCGAGGTCCCCAAACCCATGCGCGACTGTTCCAACAGGGAAGAAAGCTGCAACTGGGACGTATTCGTTCTGGTGAACTGAATCTCTTCACCCTATTCGGAAACGTAGGGATACAGGGCCATGAAGCCACTTGGAGCGAAATGAGCTGCAAAGGCACGGCAACAGCGTCAAGTGCGAACACGCTCGACAAGATTTTTTCAAGCACTTGACTGGAAGTGCCAAAAGACTCGAATCCAAAAACACCGTAACACACAATAGGCATTTTTTCGTCACAATGGTCATGAGAAAATGAGGGCTCGCATGCTGAATGCAAGAGCAAGTACATTGCAAATAGTTCCTTGGTGCAATAGGTTGTAAAGTTGGGTTGCACTCATGAATGAATGCAAAATAATGAAATTTCATCTATTGAATCAGCAAGACTTGCACACCACACCCTTGGCGTCAGAACTGCAGCGGATGGCTGCCAGGAAGGGTCGGCAAAAGGGGGGAGAGTAAAAAATGGGGGGTAAATGCTGGGTGACGAGAGCGGGCGACTAAGAACTCTCGTCGACGATCGAACGGCCCAAATTCATGTCACTTCACTTGAAAAGATCTTGGCTATGAAATTCATGATGCCTCAAGCTCTCCAACATCTAAACTCAAAGGGGCTGCTAGAACAGCTCGACGCCAAATGTTTCACGTTGGCCCACATGCCTTTGACATTCGTCTAAAATTTCAGACGTGGCATTTTTCCAACTGAGGTCTCTCATAATTAGAAAGTTGACTAGCATGAGAGATACAAGGTGCTTTTGTGCTAAGGGGTTGAACTCTCTAAGAGTACGCACCTATCTAGCCTATAAGATATATACATATATGTTTTTGACACACCCACTAGGCTAGATGAGGGGCATTGCCTGGGAAGAGACACACAGCTCAGGGTGGCACTACTAGTCCAACCTCTGAGGCAAGGGTCCAAGGACCAGTCAGCAAGAGTACAAACTAAACAAGCATAATCAAGGGCCGCACAACTAGTCCAGCCACTAGAACAAGAGCCACAAGGCCAGTCAAGATAATACAGTGGCGGAAACAATTGTCCGTTTGTTTTGCATTAATTTGGGTTTTTAGGCTCTTTACGACCACTATACGTTAAGCCATAATGTTTAATGGTGGTACGATTTGGGAGGGGCACATAGTGGATGTGTTCATAGCACAAATATCCAGAATAGTGCATGGGATCTAACTCATATCCCAAAAGATATGCAAAGGGTACATCCGGACAAATAGTTCCAAGTAGAAAGAGCAAACTTCAAAAGTGTGTTTCTAGTTCCTAGCCCACCGACCTTTGGCCTTGATCACCGCCCGCACCCTCCTAGGCGAGCTGTCGATGAGGCTAGAGCAAACCTCAACATGGATCTTTTCCCATTCTTCCTAGACTATGTCTTAAAGCTCCAGCATTCCTGAGAAAGGTCTTTTATGCTTGGCTAGCTCACTTTTCAGGTAAGCCCAGAGGTTCAGGTTTGATGAGAAAGAAGGCCACTCCAAGGCTACATACTCATGTTCTCCAAGTCATTCCTGCACTAGGCATAACAAATTCTTGGGGTCATTGTCTGCACCGAGATGACCTCTGAGGGGAAAATGCTATAGAAATGGAGGGTCAATTCAAGTTTGTCATGCAAAATGCCCTCATACAGGGGCCTCTCCATGCGTCCGTCAATCTTGCATATGAACCCCACCCCCGCATATGTCATACATCCCCACACCATCATCGATCCTTGTCTCCATGGTTTACCGTCTGTTTGATTTAGTGGCGCTGCAGGGTTGTGCCTTTACGAATCCAGGCAAACGCACGGCTGTTGGAGCTCAAGCAATTAATGTTGGTCCCATTTGACCATATCACATGCTTTCGAACACTAATTGTCCACTCAGCATGCGACTACACTAATTGCAGCCGACCCCTGATATTTTTCAGAACAGTCATGGCTTCTACGACTGCTGCACGGTGACTAGACCCGCAGACCCTAGTGTGTTTTTAATGCTGCAAGGGTGCACAGTCAACCGTGCAACGTTACCCTCAGTTTCGCGGTATCTACACTAGATTTGGCCGCTCTATTCGTGATTTTACCCTACAATGGTACGACGAAGATGATCTGTGATAAGATGGGTCCGACCAGCTGATTGCATCTTTGGCCACACCTCTACAGGCTAGTCTCAAAGATACCATTCAATCATAAATCGTCCACAATACTCTTGCCTACGCCCATTTTTAAAGCAATTTTCCTACTGCTCACCCCATTATGCAAAATGGTGGGTCCAGGAAGAGTGCAAGAATTTCCCTGCCGAGGTTTGTTCTAACCTCGTAGGTAACATACCTAAGAGGGCGCATGTGGTGATCAAGGCCAAAGGTCGATGGGCTATGTACCAGAAACACCGTTGTGAAGTTTGCTCTCTCTGCTTGGAAATATTTGTCCGGATGTACCCTTTGTTTGTCTTCAGGGATATCAATAAGATCCAATGTAACATTCTGGATTTTTGTGCTGTTAACACATCCACTATGTTCCCCTTCCAAAGCGTACCACAATTAAACATTAAGGCTTAATGTATAATGGTCATAAAAGCCTAAAAACCCAAATTAATGCAAAACCTTCGGACAATTGTTTCCGCCGCTGTATAATAAGAGGTACACAATTAAGGTTCTAGCAAGTGAAAAGCTATAAGAACTAGACCAAGCTGTACACAGTGCCGCTGATGATCTTTAGGCACAAGCGCCTTCGTAAAGATATCAGCTGTGTTGGCACTAGAGGCCAAGTGTACTACGCGGGCCTATCGGCGCTGCTGTAGCTCGCGCAGGAGTAAGTACCGCAGCAGGACGTGCTTCGCTCTGCCCTCCAATCGAGGCTCCTGACACTGGAGGATCATGGCCCTGTTGTCAGCGTACAGGACCGAGGCAGAGTTAGGCCGCTCACCAAAGTCTGTGAGCAAGAAAGTCAGCCAGCGGAGCTCCTGTGCCGCCATGGCACCGGCGTAGTTCTCAGCCTTACAGCTAGACTCGGCAACAGACAACGAGCGGGTGGACCTCCATGAGATGGCGCCTGCACCAAGGCTAAAGCAGTAGCCCTAGGAGGACCTGGGCGTCTCACCGTCGTCCGCTGATGAAGTTTCTGTGTGCCCTGTAAGGACCACTGGCCTGTGTCCTCCTAGCACTAGCCCCATGCCCGATATACTTGCTAGATAATGCGAAACCCTCTTAGCGGCCGACCAGTGCTGTGGTCGGTGTCTGCCTGTGGCCACAAAGCGAGCCAGGATGCTGAGAGGGTATGCGAGATCTGGACGAGTGCAAGTCATCAGGTACACGAGGCAATCCACCAGCTCTATGTAAGGACCACTAGGCTCTACAGACTCCTCAGGGACTGGAGCTGAGAGCCTGTAATCTATTGGCAGAGGTGTGGGCTATGCGGACGAAAACTGACGGTCGAACCCCTGAAGGACAGGGCACACCAAGTGTGAGTGCGTAAGAGTGATGTTGCGCGCTGCTCTGTCCGTGGAGATTTGCAGGCCAAGGTAGCAGCGCAGCTCTCCTAGGCCAGTGCAGGTGTGTCTCCTCAGTAGCCCAGCCTTCACGGAGCCCAATGCGTCTCTGTCTGCTGTAGCAAAAACCAGGTCGTCTGCGTACACAAGGATGTAGAACGAGGTCTGGCCAGCACGAACGAAGAGCGAGGGGTCTGC